GAGAGAGAGAGAGAGAGAGAGAGAGAGAGAGAGAGAGAGAGAGAGAGAGGGGAGCGATACAAGATTGTTGTGTGGTCTAAGGAAGAAGGTGGTGGCCATAGCCGCTGAGCTCGGACACAGAGAAGACGAGTAAAGAAGAGAGAGAAGGGACGAAGAGAGGGAGAGAATCATAGCTGAGGGAGGACGAAGAAGGAAGGTAAAGGGAAGTAAGAAGGAGGGTTGGCAGCCATAGCTAATGTTGACCGAGGTACTTACCAGCGTTGACCAGGCGTTTAACGAAGTTGACCAAGCATTTTTCAGCGTTGACCGAGGTGCATGCTGGCATTGACCGAGGAGTTGACCAGCGTTGACCAAGGAGTTGACCGGGGCGTTGACTAGTGTTGACCAAGGTGTTGACCAGGGAGTTGACCGGAGCTGTTGACCACAGAGTTTGACCAAGCTGGAGTTGGTATATTCTCGCCAAGCCTTGAGCCTATCCCCTCGCCTGATGGATGTGCACACACAGCATGGTACTTGCTGAGTCAGTCTGTCTCTTCTTTCTACATTGAGTCTCTTCTGTCCAGGCGATAGGAACTCTGTGAATGAGGTCATAGAGCTGCGTTGACCAAACCCACACGGGCTGAGTAGGGCTAAAGGCCGTGTCTGACGACTGATTGACCTGAAGGACAAACCCTCCCAAGGACCGGTACAGACCGGCGGGCTGCTCAATGTGGCACGATAGGCCCAAAATCCTAGCTGTGGGCTGCACAACCAGTTGTCTACGTCTTGAGAGGACTTGCTGATCGCGTCGTCCTGTTTGCGACGTTAAATAATTCCTGAGGAGTTACGGGAGATCTCCTTAAATGCCTCCTGATCAGCAGTAAGTCCTGTAGTGACAACCTAGAAGTAGAGTCCGACTAGAGACCATAGTTGACAAGATCCTCCAAGGATTTTGTGGTCCTTAGTAAGTCAATCATAAGTTAAGTTAGTCAGGGGGTGACATTTTAAGTGGTGAGGAGTGAAACTGTCATCCGGTTGTACACCTATCACCATAGTTGACACGCGTAGTGGTACGAGCACCACCCCATATACGAAAGAACAAGAGGAGAATGCCGCTGCCATACTGAGAGAAAGAAAGGAGAAGGAGGCCAAGAAGGAGGCCCTGTTGGAAGCACAGGCGGCGAAGAAGAAGAAGCTTGAGGAAGAGCTGGAGAGGTTGAAGAAAAAAGAGGAGGAGAAACTCAAAGAAGTAGAGGAAGAAGAAGAAGTAGAGGAAGAAGAGGAGATACCCCTGGTGAGGACTAGGAGGAGAGAGGAAAAAGGGGAATCAAGTGGGGCCAATGAAGATGAGAGGAAACTGGAGAAGATGATGGTTGGCTAACTTATCCCTACGTGAGGATGAAGAAGCATTGACGTACATCCCCCAAGACGAGAGGGATGTTGCTGTGGCAGAGATAAAGGCCTTGGAAGACCCGTTAGAGCAGCAGGCCCTTAAAGAGGAGAAAAGAATGGAGTGGAAGTTGCGATTGAGAAGACAGAGAAGGAGGCGCATAGCGTCGGCTATTGAGCTAGAAATGGAATTGGTTGTCGCCGCAGAACAGCATAGTACTGCGCTAGCACAAGGGGACTTGCACAGCAAGGTGGATGCGATTGTGAGAAGCATAGATGTATTGACTCGCGTCCTATAGGAGCAAATGCATACTTCCAGGGGCCATGACATAGCCCTATAGTCCATCCGAGTAGGGTTTAGAGACTTCGCCCACGATATGATGATGCGGATGGGCTCCGAGATGCAGGCCCGTATAG